AATCCACTTCCCGATGCAAATTTGGCGTCAAGATAAGAAAGAGTGAGATAGGATGCGGAAAATTAGCTTATCACTTTAGGGCAGTTACTTCGGTTGCATAATTTGTTGTAATAGAATTCCAAACGTTAGTTTTCACCTTACCTATATTTTCGTGATCTGCTATAGTTCAAGAATCATAAATAAGCAGGAATGGAGTCTAAATACCAGAGGAAAGTTGAAGGGACACGATTTTTATCAGCTGAAAATGGAAGAACTTACAAATGATTATAGAGACTAAAAAAGTCCCTCTTGTAAAAGACGATTCTGGCAAATCTGCTCAACGATTCTCTGCATCACTGTAAGCTCTTGGGTCAATTAAACAGTAGACAGATGAATTAAGTTTATTTAAGCCACTGCTTTTCCTCAGATGAATATCATCAGCTTTAAGTTAAAAGTAAAAAAAGGATCCCATGGTCTATAAAAGTAGACAAAAACTGCTATAGAGTGCCATTTTTGCATACACAGTAACTAGTGGCGCACTGACAAAGTCGCAAAGTACGTATAACACAGCTGCTACCATATTTTAAATTGCGTCTTTAACTTTTAGCAAGAGCACTTTCTAATTGGTATATACAATTATGCAGTTCCTTCAAATCTTACCGAACTTTCAGCTTTCTTCAGTGATCATAACAGCTTCCTCAGATTGATTCGCCGTGCAGATGACCTGAAGATGTCTACAACTTTAGAGGAATTATCCCTTTCGATACTTTAAACATCATCATTCGTCACCACTTGCACACTAATTTCAAAAAGTTGCAGAATACTAAAGTTTGTGTTCCTGTTTACATTCTTTTGTTCAATTAGAATCACGTGGCTGAAACAGGAGAAATTTTAATGAAATTTTCAAATTATTTTGCATTTCAACAGGTCTTATTTGGAACTAGCTAACGGAAGATGATATAAATTGGATTTAACATAAAAATTAGAAGAAAATATGCCTTTTTGGTTGAGAAGCCTTGTGCCACTTCAGACACCATTGTGAATATCTTTTCAATTGGTCCTTATCGCCGAGTGCTTCAAGTGCTACTTTCTTCGATAGATTTGGCCTATTCACCAGTTTCTGGACAAATTCGCTACTTCATTGCACCTACAGTAATTGTGACGGTTCAGCTCCTACCCCTTGTCTTCATCTCCTCCGTCTCCTTCAACAAAAATCGCTCCAACGTTTAATTCCGGACACCATTTTTTAATATGTTTATCTAGAGGAATCAGGTTGAAACTGGATAACAAAGTAGGTTAGCTGCGGAGTGACATCTTATTGAAGAATCATGGTATGCGTTGAGAAAAAATTGAACTAAATGGTCGCAAAATATGTAACAATACGATTAAAGCAACGAGAAATCCCATGAAAGTTACGTTTATATAGCTGATGTAAAAACAATTCAGGTTTACATAACTAAACACAGCCTTATCTAAAACTTAAACAAGGAGCAATTTCAACCTATTAAAATGAACTCAATTAAAAGATGGTGGAATGGACGCCGAAGAAATCAAAGTAGCTGTACATCATTTTATGTAATCTGGCAAACTACTGGTTACTTGCACACCTCTTAATGCTTTTTATATATAGGTGTATCCCCGCCAAACATATCCATAGATTGATCAAGAAACAATTTTTACTGCAGACTCAAGTAGGCTTCTATTGCTGATTAACAGGGCGAGCGGTGGCGTTGCTGAGTGATCGGCTCAAGAGAGCATGTTCACTGATGTAGGAATTTATAAATTTGATTATCTATAATTAAGTTAGTGGGAAATTTGCATTCTATGTCTGAGAAGGTGCAATCTATTAAAGTTCATGCAATAGCCTTTTTAGGTAGATCTTGATTTCATTTAATTGTTATTTTCTCATCCTCAACATAGACACATCAATTTATGTCAGAAAATGGCTTCCCAAGACGATATTTCATGGCTCAGATTAGATGTCATTGCATGAGGCATGTCGCATTACCGATTTGTAAAAAAAATGAATTGCGTTGGGCTGCTTTTTCTGCTAACAAAGTCTAATTTTGAATCAGCTACTGTCTCACACCGCTTTACAGTAAGTGAAGTGGAAGATATTCAACAAGTGTTACAAGCAAAGCTGGCTGTTTTTTGCGTGATGTTTTTAGAACTTCTTTTCTCCGAAAGGGCAGCATTCTACCGGATACCTTTTTAACGAGGTACATTTTCAATTATTAAATGACTCTCAGGGCACTAAAATTTCCAAATTCTAAATTGAGTTTACTGGATTTCGTAACCAAATGTTTGACATTTGGTTGCTGCATGTGTTTTTTCATATGAGAAACCGCAACTTTAAACACTTGCTTGTTTCCTATATCTTGTAGTGCATTTTATATTAATCACTTATGAATAACATATTCCGAGCATACATTCTAACCAAAAGCAAGCAATTTTAAAGGCAGTGAGAAAGTACTATTGAAAATACTTCCAGTTTACCTAACCCGATCACTTCTCTTATGTTGGACTATTCCACTGTTTTACTCCTGATAAATATGAATCTCACAACAAGTAATCTAAGGGCAGGTCTCTTTCATGCACGTACCCAGTACTGCTTAGTTATCGGTTCCTGCAAATCATATAGAATAGTAACAAGGTTCATTTTTCCGTAAGAGGTGTTTTCGGCTGGCATTGCTAGCTTGCAGATTAATTCTGAGTGATCCGGAGTGTAGGAAAGGGGGGGTAAGTAATTTTGACACTCCTAAAGTTAAACACATTATTCTAGAAGTCTCTTTAGCCTGACGCTGATAAATCCCCTCA